CGTACCCTCGTTCAACAATGGTGAAACCGCCGTATCTGCCATTCAATAATCCAGAATCATGGTTAAAGTTGATCATTAAATATTAAAAATAATTGTTTAACGCTTCATAACACGATGGTATTCTGCCAGTATTGAATAATGCAACTACCAAATAATAATGTTATGACGTAGTTGTTTAATCTAAATGTAAATCTGATTTTCACGCTATAAATTATGATTTGTTTACTTTTTGTTTTTTATTCAAGAAATTTGTTCTCCGTCATCAATCATAAGTTCTATAACTGTTGACCTCAAATTTGTTCTTTATTCCTTCCTTATCATCTATATTCATAATAATCTGTATTATGTTACAGAGTAGTTGATTGAAACTCAATTTTGAACTAATTTTGGTGTTGTTAATCATCAGAAAAAAAACTTGTGGTTTGGTTTTATGATAATAATAGTTTTCCATTTACACAGGTTAGGTCAGATTAAGCTACTATATTAAATAATAAACCTTATGATTTGTTTATATTTTATATTTTCATAATTTAATAACTTGAGCCATAAAAGTTTCACCAACACTTATATACAAATAATTTATCATTTTAAATGCCCCAATACTTGATTATATTAGACCGTTTATTTTGAAAATTCCATTAATAATAATCAATTGAAAAAAAAAAATATATAATTTTCAACGAAATGAAACTATTAAATCACAAAAATGTCGAGTGTTATAACAGTTTAATAATAAATAATGTTAACTTTATTTTGAGTTAATTAATCAATAAATGGCAATGGTGAAATAATACTAAAATACGATGTTGCGATTATATATTTTTTACACTTTCATGTCCAGTTGGTATTGGTATTTTTATTCTAAATGTAAATATTATTTAATAATACGCATAGAGTATTGTTATATAAGCTTATTTTTGACGTTTGACATGAAAATTATGAGGATATACGGTAAGATAAGCAGACAATAAATTACGACGTTAAATATTAATGATAAATTCGTAAAAATAATTTAAAATAAGTTCTTTTTTATATTTGTGTAAGCTGCATTATTCGGCCTCGGTCGCAAAATGTTTAACTATTTTAGATTAGAGCAATTAGGTATGTTTTCGTTTAATAAAAACGTTTCAGTTTAAAAATACTCGATAATCTTCTTGTGGTCTATAAACTTATTTATATATTTATTTACTTTAAAATTATTTATTTATTTTATTTGTTTTATTTGTTTTTACTGTATTCATTTTCATATGCAACTCATAACTCGTTACTAAAATCAACATATTAAACATACCAATATTTCCCTGGTAACACCAAAATATAAGAAAAAATGTATACTTTCAACCCAGACCCCACAACTGTTTTGATCCTTAAAATTGTGCTTTTCGATTAATCCTTACTTTGTGCATCTATGCATAGAAATCAGTACATTCCCTCAAAATTTCAAACGAATTGGTATGGTAATTATTTGGATGTATGTTGATTAGTCGGTGGTATTTTAAATACATGTATATAGATTACGTATATACAATTTGAACAACGGTAATTGCATAATATTATGAATGTATAATTCCAAATTTACATTCAGTTATTCTTGAAAATATTTGCATGATGCATAACGTGACTTTTATTCAACCCATAATAATTAAAACAAATAAATTAATAATATTATAATTTATTTTTAAGTAAACAAATAAAATAAGAAATATGTACGTATATATATATATATATATATATATATATATATATATATTAATTTATACAATTTGTATTTATTTTTATAGATGATGGCATACGAACATTTTTGAAAATTTAATAATTTATCATTTTATAAAATATTTTACTCACAACATTAACTTAAATTAATTTTATCAACTTGTAATAGAAAAAAATATAGACAATGTATTATATATTCATTTATTCTAAATATTAATTATAATTTACTAAAAAAATTTTATTCGTCTTTAAAAATAATTTGAATAGATAAAATAAACTTAACCAAGAACAAATTATAGGCTATAAATATGAATTTGACAACTTCAATTGGTAAAAATTACTAGGAATTTAATTTTCATACGATATAATTGGTAATTTACTTGTCTCTACAGTTATTAAATTACAAATATGTTTGTAACAATTTATAACTTCATAATTATTATTTTTGATGATTTACATTTTAATGCATTTCTTGGCTGGATAACGAATTGAAATGTAAAAATGTACAGTATATTTTGAAATTATGAGAATAGCAATGAATTTATTATATTATTTACGATTCGGTAAGGTAATTAATTTCCCATTTGGACTATTTTGCATATGATAAAGAAAAACTAATATTTCATTTCCATAAATTAATTTAATATTATCGCGTGATTTTAAATATTTCATGAAATATTTGTAATCAATAATAAATGAAACATTGTTAATTCAATGAATTCAAAAACAATGCAAATCAGATTGTCCATTTTGTTTAAATTATGCGTAATACAGTTCGTGTTTATTGATTTTATTAAAATAAATGTAATTCAATTTTAACAATGTTCTAAATAGATGATAATTAAAAGACATCCAAAATAATAATTTTACTTATCCTATAGTACTTACAATTTTTTGTAAATTTAATATTAAATTAATTTATTCAACGAATAAATTACTGTGAATAAATAAATAATTTATTCATATTCTAATATTATAAATAAATAATTAAAAATATTGAACCATTTAATTTGAGTAGGAGGTACAAATTTTTAGTCACGTGCTTATTTAATATGCTACTATACAGTGTAAATAGTATAACAATAATTTTGAAATTAATAAATTGAAAATAAAATAATACAATAATACTTCTATCACACGTAAAATATGAATTTAAATAATGAACTAACTTTTTTACGTTATCAATATAATGCAATCAATATAGATCAAATAGACTTATAAGCACTGTATAAAATAATTATTGAAAAAATAAATCAATTTTAATAAATTTTATTATATTCAATCAATTGTTAACTTAAAATCCAATTTTTAAAAACAAAAATATACATCACATATAAAATAACTACAGACACATTTGATGTTATCTACTCGTATATGTAGTCTCTGCGCTGTTACCCTAAGTGAATTAGTAAATCGTACTTAATATGCAATACGTAATATATAATACATAGAACGTTATAATATATAACGTAATATGCAATTATTAAAAATCAACCATAAAATAAAAATCATTCAATAAAACCACATTGATTTCAAAATGTATTATTATTCTTTTTTATTTTATACATTACATAGTACATAATTGGGGTTAAATAAAAAAAACATAATAATAAAATATAGTGTGAGATTTTTTTTTGTCTTTTTTTATGACATATGTAAGATTTTTATAGACAGATTATTGAAATTTTAAACAGTTCCAAAAGAACCATTTGATTTTTACAACACAATCATGTTAAATATTATTAATTCTGTTATGATTACGAGTTCAATATTGCTGCAAGTATGTCATTAGTCGATTTTATATAAAACATTAACTACATATTCAGAAACGATGAATTTAATGTCAACTTGTCTTTACATTTCGTTAAACATAAAGCGCATAAAATTTTGGTAAAATATATGACTTTAAACTGTTTATTTACTATGTACTAGTAAAAACATAAAAAAGAAAAAAAATTATTTTTAATAAATATTATGAAACCATGATAAAGATTAATATCTTGTTGTTCAAACAAAACGTTGAAAACGAGTTGACTAACAAGGGATTCAAATTACAGTACCTAATAATAAATAATTTTTCATTAAATTGGCAATATAACGAGTTATAAGCAATATGATCGTAGATCGTAATTTTTAAAATTGAAATATCTCTCTAGAAAAATGTTAATAAAAATATTTACGAATATTTCCATCGTGGCGTACTGATACCTATTATAAGTGTAGACAGGTGCGTATACGGAAAAATACTTTGGGAGGGGTTTTAAGTTGTATATTATCATAATTATATAATCTATATACCACTTTTATTATATAAAACACATATTTAATAATTATTTTGAATTTTGAGAGGGTTTTAAGCCCTTAACCCCCCTTGTTTACGCCACTGGGTATAGATATATAATATATTATATGCTGTACATTAATACTAATAAAGTAATAATACAGGTCCAATTAATACATTTCATCCTCTGCGTTTAACACGATAGATTAATATCATATTATACAGTTTGGACATTAAACTAGAGTTAACGAAACCGTGTCACGTGTAATTCACGAAATCACGTGGAACGAGCACAAAACCTGTTCTATTTTTAGACAAAGTTCTTTTAGGTGATTTTTGTTGAACTATTTTAAACTTGTCCAAGGAATGTGATCTGTTAGAAAAAAACCATTGCCGACAGCGAGGATCGATGTTTGAAAATAGAAAGTTTATTAATGTTTTATTATCATTTGTCCAATACCCGAATGATCGCAGGAACTGGATTAAACAGTATTGGTGTTCTTGTAAAACTTAATCGTCATGGTGTACACACATACACACACACACACACACACACATACACAAATTATAAACTTTGACGTTCGACCTATCCAAATTCAAAAGCTCAACCCGTATCATACTATGTACTATATAGTATGCAAAATATACTCGTACTACACTCACACGATTAGGTTGTCTAATTTGTTCTCGGTTGTGGATTGGCTACGAACACCGGTTTTGTGTCCGTGGATAACATTTGTGACGTTCACACACACGCGCACGTACAGTGGCACCGTGCTATAACTAAATAGTGAGGAGGTGGGGCAAAAATTATTTTTTGCTACCCACCACCTGTTGCACTACAGAAACATGTACAGTAGTTATTATACACCAGAGATGGAACTAGGAATTTTTACGCCCGGGAAAATGTTAGAATTCTTCCCGATCATAGACCAATAATCAAGTACACTTCTCAAGAATTTTTTTCTAATAATTAATATACAATCATACTTATTGAGTTTTAATCTAACATCGGTGTTTAACAAAGTTAAAAATATCAAATTAGTTAAAGATTGCAAAAATTACACCCTCTAAAATTTTACACCTGGGGATAAATTCACGTCTTCCACTCCCTAGTTCCGCCCCTGATATACGTATATAGTTTTTTTTTTTTTTGGTACGGAGGAAAAAAAGGGAACGCATACGATCGCGGTGCACTACGCAATATTACAGTTCATAACGCAATAACAATATACATATATATACATATATATATGTACACACAAATATTATACATTTAGTACGTGTAATCGTATTCTTATGTATAACAATGTATTTGGCATCTGTTTTGAGGAGAGGAGTATTGGAAATTTCGTTTTCGAATCCCCGGTCATGGACCGTCACACGTGCACGGTAAATTGCACCGATAATACCACATGTCATACGGTCTACCCTCAGCTCGTGGGACGAACCGCGGCGCTGTCGTCGATGGAGATGGTGGTGGTGTTGGTGGTAGTGGTGTTGGTGGTGGCGGTGGTGGACATCCGAGAACGCGTCTCGTCCTTCGTCCATTACACTCGGGTCGAAGGACAATCGGTGTCGATGGCCATCATTCTCTGCAATTTGTTCCTTTTGGATTCCACTTCCGACACCTGCGGAAAAAATGCGGATTCGATCAATCGTCCCGTCGATCCTTGTAACACCCCCTGCCCATCTTGGTCGCAGTCCTCTCTTGTCGCGCTTTGAAATTACCGAGAGCGCGCGCACACCATAATTGATCTAAATTACCGATCCTCCGCCAGTAGGGATGTTTAACGTGCACGTACCTAGATCTTTGAGTCCTAAAATCGAATGACCTATCTGATGTAATAGGAAAATGTGTAAAATGAATAATCGCGGGATGTTAAAGTTCGAAAGACGAATAATCGGAGCGCAGTTTAAATCGTTACAATGCACGGCATATTTATTGCAAAGTCTATTACGCGTACAGTAAAAAAAAATGCGAGTATACGAAAATACGTATATGATATATTTTACCGATTAACAAACATTAGGCATATATACCCCGTGCGGCAATAATACAAAAATAATATTATTTTTTAAGTAGAACAATTGTCACAGTGCCTAACCATGTTATTTATTTAACAGATAATATTAAATGAAAATGTATTATTTCGCTTTCATTAAAAATACATTCAACGTAAAACATATACGTATAACTCGTACTGTAACGGAGTAAATCCAAAAAAAAAAAAAAAAAATGAAAAATAATACAACTTAAAAACGCATCACAAAAATAATATTACGTAAAACGCAACTTCGAGTTTTCTGTAAATGGTGAAGGTCTTTAGGGTTACTTTTGTCATTTATACGTTTTTACAATTGTATATTTAAATGTCGTTTTCTCCGTTTTTACATTGTAAATGCATACGATTTGCGGTCAAAAGGAGGCCATTATATTTAGTTGAAACCGTAAACGTTTGAAATATTCATAGCTAAACAATTCACAACTGTCGATTAAATTACATAATTAACGTTCCAAAGAAATGGGTGAACATCGAAACAGTTTTCCAGTCTGAACATTTTGTTTTCATTCCACTATGGACGTGGACACTATGTTATGCTATCCGCAAACACGTTTTCATGCATTCGTACCCGTAAGCATCGTACTACTGTTAAGTTTTAAGCGTTAATATGTTGACAATTTATAACAACCTTTAAAATATTATCAAACGGATGTAATTTTATATATCAAGTAAATTGCATTACAATAATAATATATTAGCATATCTATGTTAATTTACCGGTCACGCTGTTGATGTATATGCGATGACAATTCGGAAATGTTTACGGCCAATATTTTTTTTGTTAAAATTCGACAGCTGTAATGTTAAATAATATATTTGTCAATAAACTAAACCGTTTGTACAGTACTTGTAAATGTGCGAAATTTAAGATCGTAAGATAAAATAAATTATTTTCCAGACATTTTTGTCAACCATCGTGGAACAAAGAAAATATTTCTTGTGAATTTGATAAATGGCAATCAAACGTATTCGCTAATAAAAGTATTATGTTAATAATACTCAGCGGAAAATATAAAACTTTTTACAATTAAAGAACTTTTTCTAAAACTTTAAGTGCTGCACATAAACAACATACTTATAAGTAACCATGAAAAGTTTTATTCAAACAGAAATAATATAAAAGAAAAAAGAAAAAAAGAAATAAGAGAAATTACATCTATAGTTATTAATACAGGTTTGTTTACTCTTCGGGAATCGTTTTATGCGTGTATGAGCTTCAATGAAACGATACCGAACAAAAAATTATGGAACACTTATGATTATTATTATTTCCATAATAGAAAAAACTTAAAAACCCTTGTGATTGGTGTTATTCCTCGCTTCTTATATTATAATGTGATTACAAAAAGCATATATCTTACAAATTAATTTAATAAAACTATCCATTGATTTGAACATTTTCGAATGTTTAAAAAGTGAATAATAAGAGAATTGTGATGATTATTGATTGTTAATTAAATATTGAATTTACTGACGTTGAATTTATGTATTCGTTTAAATACGGTATAGACGTTTTTGCTAAAAATTGACTCTTCTAAAATATCATTAATCAGTCTGTTGGTAAAATAAATATGATACACGAGTTACAATATGGTACACTATTTTTCTGTAACGTATAATTTTTTTTTCAATAAATAGATATACATTTATCCTTCATTTTTAACTATAATTATACGACATTTAAAATTAAAAATAACCTAAAAAGGACGTTTGTTTATTATTTTATATCAGTGGTGGCCAAACATTTTTACCTTGGGCTATAAAAAACAACTTTTTATACCACGAGTCATAAAAAAATGCATTGTTCAATTTTTTTTTTACGTAAATGTAAAATATTACAGTTATGCAAATAAGTGTTGTAATGTAGAATACTTTTGCAGACCAGATATTCAATGATGGCGGGCCGGAGTTGGCCTGCAGGCCGTAGTTTGGCCACCACTGCTTTAGATAAATGAAATATTATTAAAATTATATTTATTTTATTTTAATACAATATAAATTTAAAACGTTAGAATACTTCGAATGATTTAATTATAACAATTATGTTATACTGCTATTAATACATTATTATATTATTTACATATTAATATGGTTCATATAACAGTAGTACATCAGTATAAAAAAAATTTAAATTCGTAATCTCACGTAAACTTTCAAGTAAAAATGTAAAATTTAGCAATATGAGTATTCTTTTCGATTATCACTTTTAAAAAAATCAAAAACATATTGTACCCACAAGTTTTTTAATAAATTGGAAACTTTTTTAAAACACAAAAAGTTAGAAAATATTGATAATTTGATTTATGTTGTATCCTTTACACAACACATGTGTGTATTTGTAAGTTTTTAATACATATACAATATATATATATACGACTGATGGTTCGTTATACGCTTCTTTTAGATTCTGAGTGAAACGGGAAATTATGGTTATATCATTTTTTTCCCTGCAAACATTCTTCGGATGGTATTCAGCATTTTATAACATCTAGAATTGGATAAAGTACATTATATAAAGGTCATGTTTTGGTTGTCTCTACAGAGTCTTCCGAAGCGCAAAAACTAAACAGGAAAAAACCTTACAAAATAACGAGTTTCTTCGTTTATCAATTTTTTCCTATTTTGCTTTGATAACATTTATAACGTCGTATTTTGTTAAAATTTCAAATTATAATAAAAGGAGATTTTGTTTTTATTCTTCTTATGCACGTATGTACAGTAATATAACAACAAGTATAATATTTATTGAATATACGACGATAAATAATTTTATTTTACGAGCACTATAAGCTCTTGTTTGTGCACGGTACGTATATATTTATCTAAGTACCTTACTATAGCTAACCGAACTGCGCTCAGAATCATTTATTGAATGAGATATCATTGCTTTCAGAGTTCAGACACCTGTACTCAGGTAAGTAGTCCTTTCAATACTTTTTTTTTTTTTTTGGGTTTAATCGACGACCTGGTGGTATCCGCTTTCGCAATGCTTCCGCCCGGAGCTTATTCAATTTATGCATATATCACCGTGCCATTTTTTCCCACCGTATTATTAATCTTCCACACTACATACATAATGTATCACTATATTATCCATTGTTTTCGTTCAAGTTTTTTTTTTTACTCTTTTGGGCTTGTTTCGTTATAAATAAATTACAAGTGCATTTCGAGTTAAACGAATACAAAAGTGCAAAATTCAATCGAATTACAATGTTTTCCTACTTCGTTAATAGATATAACTCATGGTAAAAGTAAACTCCAAACAGATATAAATGTTAGTTGTTACATTTGGTCTAGGCGGGAAATAAACACGCGAATAAACGATGAAAGAAATGTTTTTGAGAAAATGTTTAACGCCATCCATAGATACGTTGTTCATTTTTAATACGAAGCACTATTAGTTGGATTACGATAAATTTCGAGAATTCCCAGATGTATCATAGCGTCACACCGAAGGCAGTGCAAAATATATCTAACCTACCAAATTTACCGAATCTCGGCGAATTAGTAAATTATTCATAAATATCAAAAATGATACACCATTTTATCACCATCGCGGTAGTAATTACTAAAGTAAAATCATGCAACGGCACTCGCAGATAGGAATTTAAAAATATGCAAATTCGGAACGATGACACAATTATGTATAGTTAAATGTACAACGAGTGTACAACTATAAAACGATGTTTTACGATTTACGGTATTATTCCGATTATTAGGTATGTTTACCCGCGTAATGTTGGTCGTCGTTGGGAGCAAGAGAAGACGAAGAAAAATGCAAAAAGCAAAAAAGGCACTCTCGTCGTCCTCTCATATGCACCGTTTCACGAGCAAATCGCGAGAGATTAACAATTGAACAGCTAACTAGTCACTGAAATCATAGTCGGTATGATAGTGTGGTAATATGCGGATATTGTTCGTTGCCATGGAATCAACGCAAAGGGATCGTATACGTGTAACATAGATCCAGTGGTGTATTTATGTGTATACAAGCATTACAGGACAGTTTTAAGAACGCGTTTTGTTATTAACTATTAATAAAAATTGTTCAAATATTATGAAATGATGTAAAAATATTTAAACAAAAAAAAAAAAAATTCTGTATATTTTAGCATATATTTTATAGTAGCTAGTTAAATGATAATCCAGTTAATGCGGTACATTATTTTAGTTATCTAGAGCGACAATTTCTCGTAGGAGTACATGCGGGAAACGTGTAAATAAGCACCTGCATAGTAGTTCAGTGATATTCGTATCGCAAGATGGTACACAGGAGCGCAACCGCATGTTCATCTGACTGTATAACGACTGTAAGTAGAAAATGAGGGAAATGATAAACTCTGTAGAGTAGAATGTGCAGTTCGGCGAGTGGTAGTTCTCAGCGATGTTCATGTAAGTGTGTGCATTGCTCTCGGGACCAAAGCCTTTGTCGCTTTTGACGGTTAGCGATTTATCAAAAAACCTAATCGAACACGATCATAATGATACGTCAAACGGATACGCGTAACGAGCGATGCAAATACATCCCAAAAGATCGTAAACTTATTATCAATGTTGGTTCTGTGATATTTATATCGCAACGATTCGATAGTTTGTCGCAGAAATCGTAACTTATTTATTTTACTTTTCGTTTTGCGTCGCAGAGGAATGGAAATAACTCGTTTGGCATAACACCCGTACGAAACTGTGTGCAGGTGAACCGGATGTTCCGAAATTAATTTTCCGGAATACACTCGCTTCATCGTTAAGTCGACCATTATTTTCTTTAAAACGACTTTAATTAAATATACCTGTACACGCGTCACTGAATTGATTTTTTTTTTTTGTTTCCCCCATCAAACTATACAGATATTATGTAATACGAAAAGATAAATAAAAGTGTAACGCATTTGTTTGAAACGTTGAAAATAGAGACCGAAACACGAATAAGTCCGTATTACGTGGTCCATTGTGTATTATTACAATGTTATTTGCACAGCAACACGGTATCGACTGATTGCTTAGCGGGGGCGGAGGCATCGGCATTAAATATTTTTAATCCCTGCGGATTTTTTTCGTACGGTTCGTTAGTGGTCCGCTATCGGATCGTTCGCCATCGTCTGTCATCGGTGTCCGTTGGGGGGGGGGGTCTTAATTAAAAATCAACACGGGGACGGAAAACTTCGACTGTCGACCGCTTAAACCGTTACCAGTAGATCCACGAGGGTTCTGAGAACCGTCTCGGGTCTGAAAGCAATCCTTTTTTTTAAAAAAAATTTCCTACGTCACGTGAACTGCGACTAGCATCGGGGAAAACGGCGGGAACAATCGATCGCCTTCGACGATCATATCTAACCTTGAACATGACGATGCGGTTCTCGTTATTGTTGTGGTGTTTCGGCGTGTTCGGCTCGCTCGACGGTCGGTTTTTGTTGACCAGTAGCGGGTAATTGCTGCTCAGCGACGAATCCGAGCTCTGCCTGCTGCAGTACTGGCAACGGCGCTGCGCCAACCGGAACGTTACACTCTCGTAACGCGCGCACCGCTCCGATCCGTTTATCTGCAAGGGGCGAGAAAAAATTAATTAATTAATCAATAAAAATAAGCAACAAGTATAAAACCTATATCGTTTCGTACGGGTCTCCGAGGGCACGGCCAGGAGTTTTAAATGGTACGGAGCTAAACACTTTTTCGGCCGGGTCGGGTAAGAGTTCACCCTTAACCCTCCTCGCCCTATCCACCAAGTTTATAAACGCATTTACGGTATTTCAATACGGTCTCAATGATATCTATTGGAATGTAATTTATAATGATAAAAAGCTAACGGTGGACAACATTACCGCGGCGACCTAACTCAGTGGCACCGAATCCTATGCTTAGGTCAGGCCGTGGTATGACTACATTTTTAAAATGAGGCCAGGGACCAGAGAGGCCGATCGATGGCAGGGGCGGCTCCAAAGCCTTGTATAGGGGGGGGGGGGCAAGTTATAATTTTACAAAATCTTATAACAAAAAGAAAACAACAATTTTTACAACACAGATTCAAGTCGTCTATTTTTAAAATTGGCAAAATTAACAATAATATGATCTATTTGATCTAGAATATCTACTTTATGATATACATTAATTAGACATAATGCTGATAGTCTATCAGTGAACGAAGCCAGGTTTTTAGTCTTCGAAGTGTGGAGAAACTCCTTTCAACTGTCATATCTCTATGGCTCTATCTACATACTTGTGCATGTCGTATGATTGTACATATTATAATATGCATTTTTTGTTAATAATATACATTTTTTTATAAACAGGTTTGGTACAGGTTTGAGAGGGAGCCATAGTCCCTAGGGCCCCTTCCCCCTGGAACCGCCCCTGATCTATGGTTTCCTATAGCTTCCTTAGCCACTGAGCGTCACCAAACATAATGGATTAAATGGGGTATCCCTTTGTAGTCAGCCAGACTTCCGGCGGTCCAAAACTGTTTTTTTTTTTTTTTTTTTATGACATTTATTTACGCATCGACAATCGACGACAAATATACTTTTTTGATAATTGCGCGAAGCGAGGAGAAGAAAAACATAATGTCACGGATCGTGCGCTTTGGTATTAAATCATTTTAAGTGAAATACAAGTATATTGATTAAAAAAATTCGATCATTTTGTTTGTTATGAAAAAAAAACTAAAACAATATTTTAACGATGCAACTGGGAAGAAATTAAAGTAAAATTTCTGAATATCGTTGAACAGTTACAAAATAAGTTTTCAATCAGATTTTTTGACTTTTATTCAATCGACTTCACCATTAAATTATTTCAGTACCAGTTAGTAGTTGATATCGATTACGTTGAGAACTGTTTAATATGGAAATTATTAAGTTGCGAAGCGTTAAAAGTTTTAAAACTACTTTTTATCTATTATATTAAACGATCGTTATACCTTTATCAAATTGTACAATCGCAAAAACAAAAACTATAGTATTATAGTATACTAGATAAGAAGAAGATATTGAGTAAGATTTGATGTGAACATTTATTTTTCTTGGGATTTTCAATGGTTGGAGTTTAGTATAAGTACACTTCACTTTCAGAATTCACAAATTACAGTTAATCGTTATACAAATTGACACTGATAGGTAACTGCTTTTACTCTGTATTTTCGCGTCCCTGTATTTTTTCTCTTCATGTATTATTACTATAAACAATTTTCTTACAGATCAAATATATTAAAAAAAGTGTTAGTAAAACTATAGCATAGTTAATAGTTCCATTGAATACAGTGGGAGAATCAGGGTCTGTGAAAAATGTGTCCGCTATCTATCAGTTAATGAACCTCGATATAGGTCACGATGGTTATATTAATATTGTGCGCTGAACGCGTGCAACAACAGCAAAGAATGTACCAATTGAGTGATATTTTATTTTTTTATATAACGTAATTGGAAAACAAAATTTATTACGTATTATTCTTAAACGCAATATATATATATATATATATTTATATCGTTGAAATCATACAGATCGCAAACTTAAATTGTCTGTACATTGTTTTTAGACGATTCCTATTTATTTATCACTAAAATTCATCCTTCATCTAGTTTATTATAATTATTTAGTATACAATTGACATAATACAAAGTAGAAACTAAAATTTAAAAATTTAGATCTATTTGATATGTCTTTTATTTGCTAAAATTATTTATGTGTTTTAAAAGATTTAAACTTCAGTGAAATTTTTTATTTTCATTAATTTTCATAGGAAACTATTATTTAAAACTGATATTTAATGAAATTGAATACTTTTCGAGTATACTGATAAGATAAATCATGTATAATGAACATTTTTATATACTTTATTGTAATAATATTACAGGGGTATACATTTATATTTCACTACATTTCAATTTAATAAATTACTAAGAAACTTTTTGTAATATGATATTCTTTGTAGATACATATTTTATAAGATTTCTTTTCAACATTTGCTTATATAGAAGAAAAATTTCATAAATATTTATCACAATTATAAATAAATAATTTATTTCATTTTACTAAATTAAATGCATTTTTAAGTTTTAAAAAGTAGGCATAAATTTATTTTAGTAAAATGAAACGTATTTTAGTGGTATGTTTTCATGTTAATTTTTTTTATTAAAAATTTTAAAAATTAATTTAAACATTTTTATTAAAATAATTTATAAATTTTTTTTTAATGACAAATTTCGAATAAACGATTTAAAAGAAAATTATTGTAATACGCACTTATCACACCAATGGGGAGGGGGTGTACTCTACCTTCTCGTGATCCTCCCTGTAAGTAGTGGGGTTCCTAGGTGCGTTACTATCTATGAGATTGCAAAATACCTAACATGCTAAGAAACTAAACAGCACAAAACCAACTGCCAGACGTCCAATGACCTCCTGGAATACTCGGAAAAACAGCTCTTTTCAGGGCTACTTTGACCCACGCGCCCTTCCGTAAGTCATAACACAACATCTATACCTCTCAAAAATAAACTTTAAAATCTAAATTTCAAAAACAAAAATAAAAATAAATGGAATTTTCATAATAAGAGTTTCAAACGTAGCCACCAATAAATAATACAACACCTCAGACAATAGTGGCTCACAGGAAAACGTAAAAATCATACACCTTAACATAGAAGGTTTACCAAGTTCTAAAGCAGAAATACTCAGTAAAAATTTTAACGATGCTGACGTACTGGCTCTACAGGAGACTCACATCTCAGACGGAGAAACAAGGTGTCTGAAAATACCTGGGTTCAGGTTGATTGACTACATGGGTATCCAAGACATGGTCTGGCTACCTATGTTAACCAAAAGGTGGAAGATCGTCTTGTCAATCCAGTTACTGATAATGAACATACAGTTGGTATCTATTTAGATAACCTTATTAACTACAATGTATACAAGCTCCCTTCAACCAACTGGTCCCATTATGTACTTTCAACACATCAATGTCACACAGTGTACGTAGGAGATTTCAATTCACATGGCACTGTGAATTGGGGCTACACAACTGAAAATGAAGATGGAGAATGGCTATGTAGATGGGCGACACTCCACCGTTTGCACCTATTATATGATGCTAAACAAGGTGGCACTTTCGTTTCTGGCAGATAGGGCACAGCAACAACCCCTGACCTCTGTTTTGTAACAACCGACTGCCGTGATCAACCCCTAAGAGCTTCCCGTGCTATTTACATAACTTTCCCTGAACACAACACAAACCAATAGCAATAAACATAGGCTTACACCTACCAAAAATAGATAAACCTTCAATGCCTAGGTAGAACCTACGTAAGGCAAATTGGGATGCCAACATAAGTTATATGAAAAAGAACATCAATTGTATACCTCCTTTGCCAGAGAATTATCCTAGGTTTGTCAAACTAGTCAAAAAAGCAGCGTGCACCGCCATTCCAAGAGGCCACAGGCAAAATTATATTCCTTGTTGGAACACGGAGTGTGCTTCTCTATTGAAGGAATATGAATGTACAGGAAACGAGACCATCGCCAACCAGCTAATAAAGTCATTAGACAACGAAAGAAGGAATAGATGGATTACGGTAATGAACAACATAGATTTAACCCATTCAAGCAGAAAGAGCTGGGAACTCCTGAGAAAGTTAGGGGTCACACAACCGTCAAGGAAAAATGGCAATGTCACAGTAAATGCCATATCAAGCATCATCTTCAAGACGTCCAATATTAAGCCGAATAAATTCGAAAAATCAGAGATAAAAAGAAAACTGAAGGAAGCACCTTAGGAATGCGAAGATAGATCAGAGCTGGCATCAGAATTTACTCCAGACGAGGTCCAAACCACTTTAAAATCAGTATAAAATGAGAAAGCTGCAGAGAAGGATGGAATTGTCCCTGAATTTCTCAAAAATATTAGTACTGTATACATTACCTGGATTGCAAAACTCGCCACTGAAATTATGAATTCTGGTAAGTTACCGAAACTATGGCTTGAATATAAAGTAATTGCAATATTGAAACCAAACAAAGACGTATCCGACCCCAACAACTATAGACCAATATCCTTACTGTCTACCATGTATAAACTTTTCGAAAGACTACTTCTAGCTCGCCTGCAATAAATAGTAGAGAAGTTCCTACTACTGGAATAAACCGGATTCAAACAAAATAGAAACTGCTGCAACAAAATCGGGTCCAGTTTTTCTTGACTTATCGTCGGCTTATGATACAGTCTGGACTAGAGGTCTCCTTCTTAAAATGGCAAAGATTGTAAAATGTAAAGCCATACTACTAATTCTAGAGAAAACGATATCAAATTGAAAATTCAGTGTAACTCATGGAGGGAAAATGAGCCGATACAAAACCTTACAAAATGGCCTTCCACAAGAAGCTGTCCTTTTCTCAATGCTTTTTAACATATACACAGTAGACATGACTGACACAGTTTCAAGGAAATTCATATACGCAGATGACGTAGCACTAGCAACTCAAGCCACATCTTTTGAAGAAATTGAAAGTGTATAGAATGCGGACATAACAAAATTAAAAAATGTCTTCCAGAAATGGCACCTCAAACTGAATCCAAACAAATCAGTAACATGCGCTTTCCACTTAAACAACCGAGAAGCCAATAGAACACTAAATATAGTAGTCGATGACTAAAAAATCACCACCAAAGAAGTTCCTAAATACCTAGGGATAAGGCTAAACAGAACCTTAATTTTCAAACAGCATTTCGAAAGCGTAAAGAGAAAATAAAAACACGTAACAACATAATTGCCAAGCTAGCAGGCACAAGTTAGACTACTGCGCACTTGTATGGGTCAGAAGTGCGCACTGCAAAAAGGTCAACGTACAGTTGAATGAAACCATGAGAATAATAACAGGAACCGTGAGATCTACTCAATTAGATTGGCTGCCAGTCCTGTCCAATATAGCCCCTCCGGATCTACGCAGATAAGTACAGACTGAATCAATGTTATCGAAACTGAGCAACTACCCAGACTTACCAGTACAAATAGACATAGTAAACCATCCACCTAAGAGACCTATATCCAGAAACCCTATATGGAGCACGCCACGGTCAAATAAATCAATAGAGGAGACGTGGGAAACTAGGTGGTCAAATACTAACGCCTGGAACCACTACCTAGTTAGCATTCCTGATAACAGAGTCCCAGGCTTCGATTTAAATCGAGCATAATGGACGGCCCTGAACCGCATAAGAACTGGGCAAGGTAGGTGTAACTATCTATTACACAAATGGGGCATGCCCGATTCCCCTTTGTGCGAGTGCGGTTTAACACAGACTACAAGCCATATCGTTGAGGAATGCCAAAGAATAAGATTTAAAGGAGGGGTAGCTATACTGCACGTCTGCGGACCAATGGCGATCAAATGGTTAGAGGAACTTGATATTCGACTCTAAGAGCTTTGTCTGTTTGATAGAAGTACATATCCTATAAACATTTTCTAGTCCGTTTGTTTTATTCTGTTTATTTTATCTTTTATCTCATATTCTATACATATACCATATTAATTTTGTAATAACTCATACTGAGTGTCATATGCATAAATAAATCACACCAATTATTTAGTATTTAACCGTTCATTATTTATTTATCTGAACCTCTATGAATGAAAGTAAATTATTAGGTACCTTAAATTAAAAATTTCTTTTTTATTCATAAAAGAGTGTATGGAATGAGAAAATTTACAAATTTCTGAAGCTAATTAAAATTATTATAATTATATATTTTATATAACTGTTGTGACGAATTTAATGAGGTGTTTATACATTTTCAGATTATTAATTTAAGAAAAAAGTTAACAAAATGAATTGCGTGTTAAGAAAACCGGAACCATTATTAAATTGCGGTGTAAACACGAGTTCAATAACTATATTATGATATGCTAATGGATTTGCGTATTTTAATTTATTACTACGGTTGAATAATTTAGATGAACGATGGTTTAATAATATGTTGTAAGTCGATTTTATTTTGGATTTGTTAGGCCAATAGACGATCGGCCGCTCGTGAAAATACATTCTGATCAAGGTTACTGGGCTTATATTTCTGTAGTATATCGCTGGAGGCATTCAATTGTTTTATTATTTAGTAATAGATCGTAATTCAGAGAATTCCCCTGGCATTTCATGCAATTGAATATGGTTTGGTTTTATTGTTTATTTTCATACTTGTTAAACGCAAAGATTACCTTAAAGTTATCGGACGCAAAAAAAGTTAAAAAAATGAATGTACTGTTACGTAACAATATTGCAATCATGACAAGCAACATCGACATTATGCGTTGCTGTTGTTCATATACTATCCGATTATCAACGATTAACATATAATCGAGTCATTATTTTCTAGGTAATTTACTTGCAAAATAACCGAGACGCCACGTAAAAATATTTACAAGCAATCGAAATATAATACGGTTTGCGATCGTAATTGTATCGTTATTATAAAATTGTGCTATAATACTGGATGTTTATCGGTGAACAATCAAAATCAATGCTCTATGTCAAAACTGGGCCGGCGCTAACAAATACGAATTAATATTCGTGGTAAACGATTTCGCATAAAAATAAGAAACACTCAACATACCAACATCCTCTACCGAAGTGTGCATAGAGAATATTGATATCTTGTACCAGGGGATAAAATATACGTACAATTCACAGGTGCATTTTCTTGGACGTGTCTCAGGTGCTTGATTGCGTAACGGCTCTTTTGTTATACATGGACAACTCGATTCTTATACCGGTCCCTTTATAGTTTATGTTTCATTATAAATCTTCCTCGGATAGCTGTTGTTTTTCGCTACACGTTATAAAGAAAATCTATAGCTCAGCAGTATTTATTAAAACAGGCGGCGTAGAAAGCTTTTTGAGCTCGAACATCACACGATTACTATTACTATACCACTGATATTCTCAACTTAAACGAAACTCCGTTAACCACCCTAAAAGATGTTATACGGGCACAATCATGCTGGGTCAATATTTGATTAACGCTTCTGTAATTCATAAAGTACCGCCATAATGAGATTTCGTAAACGAGTTAATCTGCGAAATGTAAAGTTGAATGGGAGCCGGGTATATTTATACATATGTATATATATATATACATAAATCTTAGAAAATATCAATGAGGAAAAAAATATAACATCTAAAAACTATCTCAACGATATTAAAATGTAAGATTCATAATAAAATAATGAAAAACAAATGATAAAAAAAATTTATACAAAAAATATGATTGTACATTAATGATGTGTAAATCAATTATTCAACAGATAAAGAGACACAAAAAAAAAAAATAAAAAAAAAAATAATAATAATAGAAGAAAAAAATAATAGGTAACGAAACTGAAACAAATCCAAATTTAAATTGTAGTAAAATGAAAATAAATAAATGTATACAAAACTTTATATAATGGTCACGGACATATTGAAGTTTATTCGTAGAGTAAAGGTACGGGGGGGGGTTAGGGGGTTTCCTATATGCGACTGGTCGCAACGACTGATCGCAACGACTAGTCGCAATGATTAAACGCTACGTACCGACTGGTTTCTTTAATGCGACTACACTTTGCGAATGGTGGAATAGTAATCTATTTTATCCTATGATTTTGTAGTGTACAGACGTGTTTATTTAGTATTAACTTATTATTTTTATTTTAATAATTTCTGTTATACTTTACGAACTGCAATGGAGAAAATTATTATTAATAATAATAATATAATTAGTATTCTACTAGAGGAAGATGAAAATCCATTAGTAACTATTAAAAGAAATTCAATAGACAAGTTTTTTTTAACTCAAGTAGATGAAGGCTTTTTTGAAATTCTGATAAATGGACATTTAAATAATAGTAAACCTAAATTCCGAGAATTTTTCCGTATCAATTATGATCAATTTATGTTCATTCTATCATTGATAAAGAATGATATAACATTATCTCCATCTAAACGAGTTAAAAAACCAATTAAACCTGAAGAAAAATTAGCAGTAACTTTAAGGTAAATAAATAAATATTTATAATTTAAATTAATATGTATATATATTTCGTATGATATAGTAGAGCAACAACTTTAAACATTTAAATATTAACAGACAGATATACTTAATGGAATAACAAAATATAGAATAAGATAAAATATGTTTTCAACAAAAAAAAATTGTAGTTTTGGTTTCTAAAATTTAAGCTTATGAGTAAAAAGAAAATTATTATAAAGGAAAATAAAACACGCATGCGACTCATAAACGACACTGCATCGGATCACTACAGTCGCAAGCCGCAACAACTGTTATCGACACACACGTGTCAATTGCACATGGGAAACCACTTTTATTGATTAAATATAGATCAGTCTTTGCGACTAGTCGTTGCGATCAGTCGTTGCAACCAGTCGCATATAGGAAACCGTACCTTAAGACTACCATTTGCTGGTCATGCACGGAGGAACTAAAATTGGTTTTTCCATGGGGTGGCAACTAGAATCCTATAGGGAAAAAGTCATCGGGAAGACCAATCAAGTGGCAGGAAGACGTCTTTATAAAGGATACGAAAGAGATGGGAAGGAATTCCGGTTGGAGACTAGACAGAGAAGAATAGAAGCTTGTGTATGAACGGAATGGTCTTAAACAGTAAGACCATCGAACCTATTAGATATATTTAACCCTTAAGACTTAAAGGTTCAATAAAACTAAAAACAAGAAGAAACGAAGTGTAAACGTGCATGGAAAAATTAACTCGACGCATATTTCCGATAATTAAGGTAGAATTGATATAGAATAAATGCATGTCAGCGACAAGTATGGCAATACTACAATGAACGTGTACTTTGAAGATGTAATGCTTAAAGGATCAAAAACATTAGATGTGTCCGAAACGCATAACGGACGTATGCAAAAAAATAAATAATATTGTCATCAACCGGTTTATAATGTACCGCGTACGTTTACATTTGGACCGGGAACTATTACGTGACGGGGTCATATGAAAACATGAGATCTTATGTCAGTTCAATGGTCCTCAGGATTTTCAAACCGCTGGGCTAATTCGAACATTTATAACCGTATTCTAAGATCCGCTACGAATGATTTCTATTGAAAAGGCACGACCCGTAGTCTTACCGACAATATTGTTTCGGTTCGATTATAAATACTTGTGCACGAATTCTTATGTCGGTACGGGTGTTCGGAATTCGATGTCAAGAGAACGGGCCAAGCACAACCGAGGCAGAAGCGTCATAAAACACGTCGAACGATTTCGGTTCGAAAACTCCTGAACGGTAAAGCCCGTTGACGGTTGCGCTGGAAGTCCGTCACCCCTTAAACGTACACCGATGGGGTCGAACAGTTGTTCGGGAGAACAGTACCCGTACGTCGCTCGGTGACGCACTGCTAAGTGGGCCTTACCGGATTGTACGTGGCGACAAAGTCGGCGGGCGGTGGCGTGACCGAGTCGAACGAGTGTTGGCACTCCACGGACGACATGCGGAAACTGTGCACGGACACGCTGTCCGGCTGGTGGGCCGCCATCAGCCGGTGCTGTTGGTACGTGCCTGCCTCCTTGGCCGCCGAGGACTCGCGCAGCCGGTTGCGGCTGCACACGGCGCGCAGAATCTCCTTGCGGAACGCGTCGTTCCTGAACACGTACACCAGCGGGTTGAGCGTGGCCGCGGACAGCGCGCACGTGTACACCACCTCGTCCGGCAGTTGCACAATGGACACGTGCACGAACAGCGGCGTCCAGCTGAATAGATACGTGGTCAGCACCATCATGGACGTCTTCATAGCCCGGCTCTCCTCCCGGAACAGCAGCGCGGAGAACAGCGCGTTGGAGTTGCGCCGCGACAGGTCCGGTTCCACGCACACGCTGTGCTTGCGCGTGCGCAGGCTGTTCCTGCGGAAACAAAAACGAACGGATCAATGACTGCGCAGTCAGTGGACACCGCGAACCGAGGGAGGAATTATCCGGGGTGGAGAGGGGGTGAGGGTTTAGGAAGCGTCCGTACACAGGTGTTATCCATATAAAGAGAAGTGGGGAAAATAAAAATCGACAGTAACATATACGTTGGTTTTTACCGACTAAAGCTGATTTACCGTATTGTACCGTAACTGGTTGCGTATGTCGGTCGTGCAACGAGCGCTCGGCGCCCCGTGAAACTCGTCACATTGTCTAGTACCGAAATCGACCGGGTCAGCGGCGTCTACACGTGTTTTGTTCGCCGGGCCGAGCCGTTATCGAGTTCACAACTACTCGTCACGCCTACTCGATACTAGGAATAGGCGTCACTAAGGGTATCGAAAGGTATCTTTGCTACCCCAAAATTATTTGAAGTATATTTATGAAGAAGAGTTAGCCAGTTAAGTAAGCTAGTTAAGCCAGTAAGCCAGTTATCATGTTAAACCTTTAAGAATTTATTTTTTAACTTTCTAAAAATAAACTTTGCTACCCCAAAATTTGGACTTAAATGACGCACATGACACTCGGTCTCAGACCCTGTGACGCACTACTCGTTATAATAAACCTGAGTACAGGGACGAGTGACGGTTTCGATTAAACGTGCACGATCCTGGAAACGATCTCCCACGCCAATCGGAAGCACAGTCGATTGCAAGCTACCACGAATGTCGACAAAACTTAGCGATTTCTTAGTCACGTGTCATTCGTTTACCATAATTGTCAGTCGTACGCGATCATTCTTGAATCGTGATCGGGGAACCACGTGCGAGAGCAGTTCGACTCATTTTAACTAGGAAAAATTTATCGCTAATTGAACCAACTACGCGTGCCGTTGCTATCTGCATAGTTATAGCAATTCCCGACCTATTGGCGAGAGTCAACGATTAATTTGACTGCAAATTAACTGTGAGTACTCGCCAGTGGTATAGAGGCAGGTTTTAGAAAGTCATATTTTAGAATTCTGGGTTTTAGAATAAGCTGTAGAAACACTGTGTTTAGAAAATAAAACTTTTAGAATTTAAATTTTTAGAAATATTTTTATTTGTTATGCTGTTTACTCGCATATATAATGTTTTCTAATAGTTTTTTTATAATAAAAAACAAATATAATAATTTTTAATACTTAAGATTATTAGCAATAGCTCTCATAAATTCATCTAAATTATAATTAGAATCATCAACTATTCGTTTACATATTTGCAATAAGTTATTACTCCGTGTTTCATTGTATTTTCTTTTCTTGAATACCTACTTTATTTGAAATTAACGATTCGATTGTTGCTTCAGTTTCATGTTGTTCTTTTTGAATTTTGGAGATAAATGAATGTATACCAGGATGAGTTAATAATAAGCAATTGAAAATATTTTGTATTCTAAAACATCATTTAACATTTTTTTAAAACACAGATTTTCTAAAAGTTTCATATTCTAAAATATAGATTTTCTAAATATTGTCTTTCTAAAACTCGGTATTCTAAAGCTTGATTTTCGAAAACATGCACCTAAATCCTCGCCAGTAGTGTGGGACCAGGATTTAGACGCGCCAAGCGCAGTGGCGCAGTCACCCGGCCCGGTGAATAAAAATCGGTTTCCGCCCGCCCTTTTTGCTCGTCCGAGTGCTGGTTCTTTACTATTTCAACACGTGGAATAGGTGCTAAGTGTTCGTCACACGTAATATAAACCCGCAGTTCTTATACATTTTGCTACTACACCCGTTTCCTTTTATTTTATTTTTAGGATACCTAGACAAACATATTTTAAGAGCAGTAGACATGAACACTTTTCTTCCTCCATTTGTCACAGTTTACGGCTCCTTTTTTTAGTTATTGTTTTAAAAAATTATTTATTCTAATACTAATTACTTATTACGACACACTTTTGAATTTTCTTGTAAACATAAAACTAGGAACCGTCTTCGGAATGTACCGATTAGATGTCGACATCAGTCCGTCTCAACGAATCACCGATCTGCATCCGTTGTATTACGTTTTGTTCAATACTCCGCGTTTCTTTTGTTTTTATTCGATTATGGATAAGAAAATGAGAAAAGTTGAGTTTGAAAACGGACAGTATCCGCCTGAGTGGACGGAATCATATTTTTTTGTTCTAGCTGGACCGCTCAGGAGCCTTGCCAGTTTGTTTGATTTGCCGCCGAACGGTAGCTGATTTTAAATTGTTCATTATTAAATGTCACCATGTAGGTTCACATAAATCATTCGTCAAAAATGTTTGCATTACAGTAAAATGTGTTAAGCATATTTTCGTTGGATTTCGATGAACTTCCTGCCATAAAATTTTCAAAATTCCCAATGTGGCTATCCAGGAATATTAATTTGTGACCCCTGCAATATAGCATATCGGTTCGACACCCGTCCCCCCGGAAGAAATCGATCGCGGTGCCAGGCGAAAACCGCGATAATAACATTTTCGATTTCTCCAGGCGCGATCAACCTGAACGCTACAAGCGCATTAGCACTTTGCAGATGACGGACCGCAGTAACACTCAACCGCCTGCAGTGGAGTAGAAACATCGTCACGCAACGGTCGTCGGCAGTCGGGTATTCAAATCGTATTCACCGTTATCGTTTCAACGTGATTGCCGGCAGAATGGAAGACGCGTTCAGTTTTCAAAGGGATGATGGCGTAAGACTACGAAAGTACGTGTTCGCAGCAAATTGTAATTTGCAACACATAATGAAAACGAACGCTAATGGTGCGTGTGTTTACATGGTTTCGCGATAAGGTCGACGTGGGTTTTAGTTTTCTCTATTGGTTTCGGCCCGGAGGGCTTGAGCGTCATTTTATCGCAATCCCGCTTGGTGTGTCCGGTCGAACCCATGTATTCGGATGAGAGAAAATGACGAAATGAACCGTATATTGAATACGAAACATTGTCCCACGTATAAATCCACGCGTAATACGATTGTTACGGTCAATCGTTGCTCGTGCGAGCAGTGTGCAAATCATCAATCAAGTAAAACACGGAAAATACGTGTTTCATGCGTGAGATGATTTAGAATTTTTACTCGTGCGTGCGCTGCAGCGGACTGCATGGCATACGAATCAGTGGCGCGAACCCTGTTTCGAGATCTGGTCGGACATCTTTTGAAAATTCAAGACCGCTTCACGTTGAGCCGAAGTTTGACGTACGAAAGCTTCATTACATAACATCAATATTTTTATGGTAAAAGTTACTATCAATCCCTCCCACCCCGACATGAGGTCGATATTTAGATTTTGTGACCGTTACAAATATTATTCGCCAGACTTAACTTTCAGGACTTCGGCTCGTACGATACGCGATCCCCGGTTATTAACGCCATGTCCCACTCGTCTACGGTCGTCGCGATCGCATTACGCGTTCTACTCGTGCACGAGGTCCTATGGACGACGGCCATTACAAAAAACGACGAGGATTCCACTGGGTTCCAACGCGTCGTGTATCCTATACGGTTTTTGCGATTTCAAAAGCACTGCATATACGTGTTTCACGAATTACAGTTTATTTCAATGGAAAGTACGTAGTGCTATGTATATACAATATATATTATATGTGTGTGTAAACATACACGGGGATCTGTTCCAACACAAGAACAATTATTTCCTAAATATATCAAGCCCCCCCCCCCCCCATAAATTTTCTTTACCTACGCACTTGCATTGCTTACAGCTCTCCACATGCTGCGCATGATGTAGTCGGTCGCAGTTGGAAATTCCTTGACATTAGCAAATGCGTCATGATAAGACACACACGTTTTCTGAGACGGCTGTGTTGCGTATGAAAAGGGACCGTTTCTCATACGATACATTCCACTATTTGTTTATAAATGTTTGCTAGTCTCTTTGCTAATCTCATTACGTTCGAAATCTACAAATATCTCATGTGTACTGACCCGAGAGGAAATCAAATGTTTTGAATACAGTTCCGGGGACGCAAGCTCAACATACTAACATCGCGAAACGGTCATCGATCGATTTCACAACAACGTTCCCGCTGCTTGTACAAACATTCGAATCACACCGGTCGTGGAATCCAAAACTAAATCACGTTGTGTCGTGTTAAGAACGCGAGTCACTCGTGTATTGTACGAATCTTATAGTATTTGATTATGCGCGATAATAACGTGAACGCGCGTTTGCAGAGTTTACGTAGAACAGCTAAACAAAGTACATGTTCAGTATAAAGTCATGATTCGTTGCACGGAATACAAAATATATTTTCACGAATACGATAAAACGCGATGCCGAATAATGCGGTTGATTTATTTCTTTTAATTGATTATTTCTAATCGACCCACCGTGGATTTAACCCGTTTGGTGTTTCGGGCGACCAAAGTTTATTGGTTGGTTGGAGCACGAAGCATTGCTAAACTCTCGACCGACAACCCCCATTGGCAAGACAGTTGAGGTTAATCGCTACATCAAGCCGTGCATGTTTCATACATCATATCAGATATTAACTGTAATGTTCAATGCATTTCTACCAATATAAACGGACCACTACAAGGGTGTATTTGAGGGGGCGAAGGGGACATTCGCCCCCCATGGCTCGTATTTTTTTTGAATATAATAAATTGATTTATTTAAAAAGTGTAATGTATAAATAATTAAGAATATAAATTACTAGTTTATCATTATAATATATTAGCATTTAACAGAAACAAGATCTGTAGGTAATGAACTGAAAATTCTTTTTAAGTTTGTATTGAAGAAAAATTAATTTCCCCCTCCCCCCCCAATAGCTTAGACTCAAATACGCCCTTGGACCACTATTATCTTTAGAACCGTCAGCTATTTTATTCCAAGATCTAGCGTTCCGCACTGCATAATACGTTTAAGGTTTTCAGCAATTCTAAACATTAACAACGCTTACATATGTCGATGTACCGAAATAATGAAAATACAAAATTCCAATTTTTTTCTTCTTTCTTTATTTC